ATTCCCACAGATCACTTCAGCAGGATGATGTTTTATTCGTTCCTTCGCCGGTTACTTATTGTGCAGGTTGAAAATCTCACTTAACTACAGAGTACCATCTAGATTCCGGACTTGCACGTAATTTCCGAAACCAGAACGCAAGCATTTTGATCACTCATGACCACCACAAACGGATTCATTTATTGGGCTGGGATTTTCTTTGCTAGGCACAAATGAATGGGAACAAGTGATATTAGTAAATGGCATCCATTTTTAAAAAGAAAAGCACAAGACTAACACCCGAATGGTCAAAGATAACGCAACAGTTAGCGACGTACTTGATGCCAGAATGGGTTTGAACGCCCAAGAATACTTGCCGTTGAGATAACATATCTCAAATTCGCAGAGAGATAAGCCTTCAGTTTTTGACAATCGGCTGTCAGAGGTTCAACGCATAAACCTTTTGCGAATATCTCTTAGGATAAGGGCCAGCTACCTTCCACCGTATTTTTCCAGCTCGCAACGGTTAACTCATAGGTTGCATTTGTTTCAAGAAATCCGGCCCAGTACGCCTGATATATATCTGGAAACTTGTCTGATGTAACAACGGATAAAACACTCCACCTATAGGCAAATGGAACATTCAGGACGGATCGCACTACCCATGTTCCGTTAAATAACTGTCGAACAATGCCATAGAAATGAAAGGTAGATCTCCAAAATCATCCGTACCAACTACGTGAATTGAAGCCATTTAGAGAAAGATCTATGGACCCACCCTCTATAAACTGAAAGTGATCAGCACCATATTTCTTGACAGAAGAAATTAGAAGTCTTCGAGAGTCCTCTGAATTGACCAGGTTTATGATGATAACGATGAAAATGCCGTGCAGCAAGCCTCCCATGTTCGTCGACACGATGTTGGGGCACGGATTTGAAGGTGTTGCACCGTTCAAGGTTGATGAAATGCCTCAGTTCCCAAAATGGCACAGCGGCGACAAGTTATTGTTGAGTTTTCGTACACCGAATATTTGAGTATCTCCACGCACTTCATCATTCCATGAATGAGAAATGAATTAGTGAGTGTGTATTTATATGCACCAGTTAGCGTGGTTTGGTTCAGGCACTGGGCTGCATCATAAATCCGCTGTTTATCAGAGCCCTCTGAAGTCCCCCGTTGCATCAGTGGCATGCGCACTGGTTGGAAAAAATCATTCTCAGCTAATTAAGTCACAGAAATATTGTGAGCAGAGAGCGTAGTATAAACGGACGCAAGCTAACGGGTGAACTCTCAAAACTCTAACCGTCGTGTAGACATGCAGAAGAGAAGAGAATTTAAATATAAGACCTAATTAGCGACATTTGGAGGAAAACACTCCAAGTATGGCGGTCATAGTGCCAGCCACTAACTTTCGATATGAAAGCGTCTTGCGTGTCGGTCATCACATAGAAAACTCGCCGTAATCCTAGGGTAACTGAAGCTTCCCCCCTCAGAAAAAATGAACCCTTAAAGAGCTACCATCTCCTTTGTGGTTAGCACATGGTGGCATTAACTGATGAGGCCTCCTAGTGAATTTTTCATTTATGGGAGTGCCAGGGAGATTTATATAAATAAGGATCCTCGCACAAGGACCCGCGGGACCAGCAGGTTATTTTCACAATCTTGATGGTCCCAATTTCATCCACCCACATCTGTGAAATTCCAGACCCATAGTAATTCTCAGAGCCACATCAAAAAAAGCAATTAACCTGCAGCAGCTTCAATAATAGAAATTTTGTTGCAGGTTTTAGGATATGCCAATGGTGCCTTCAATTTTGGAGGACAGTTCTGGCCGACAATCATCATACATGGTACAACTTTCCGGGATACTTGTTCCTCTGCATGATTTGATGTATGCAGATCGAAATTTTTTTTATCACCGCACGTTTTCGTTTCACTGAAGTCAACATGGGATAAAAATATCACCCGGATTCTGCAGAAACGACCCATATTTTCGCCTGCACCCCCCCCCCGAACAGGACGAAATGTGCATAGTTCCTGTCATGATAAAATACATGCATAGGATGGCGCGACAATCCAATTAACAAAGGACCGGGCATCGGGAGACCACGGGTATTTAAGATTTGCAGATTCGACTGGCTCCGGGACGATACGGATGATGGTCCGATCCGTCTGTCATTCTCTTCTAGGCAAGGTGTTTTCACAATGCTGCGTGTTGATGGTGTCCACGCAGTAGGTTTCCTGGGATACGGACGCTCGTGAACCGACTTCATCTATATTCAAAAGCTTTAATGGAGGGCCCAGATTGTGAGGCGGCGTTTTACCCTAACTGGAGTCTGCTTCAACAGCGTTTTTTTACAATGCGTGTTACCTACCACGAAATGGAAAGACGCATGGGTCTGTTGTGGGCATAATGTAAACCACTACCTTCAGAATGTGTGCTAGTATTTCCATAGTCTTACGGATATTGTACTTTGTGAACTTGTGTGTTGATTAGAACTGTTAACCCTCGGCTGCTTTTCAGCCCCATTCCAGCAGCAGCGGACTCCAACTTGAATTTGGATGGGCATTAACATCTGCCATTGGTATGCGGAACATAAATCAGGCGTTAATGGGCCCGAAGATCAAAACTAGCATGGGTGGTCTGCGAGATTGGAGATGTATCATGCCCAGAGGCATAAGCCATCGCTGATGTGTAAATTCCAGTAGCTGCAAGCCCTGACCTCTCATGTCGGAACATGTAGACAAAGTTCTTTACAAGCTACTATCCATGGCACACGGATTCACGGATTGATACACAGGATCGAGGCTTTTGCCCAAGTCTCCCGGGTCGGTTTTGTTCTTGTCGGTCAGTGGCTGTCGTTCACCTGAAAGGCACAAGTGAAAAAAGGGTGTAGC